ACCAAATGAAGAAAAGAGCAATGAGTTGTAGAGGTCGCTAAAGAAAGCGGTTCATGAGTTCTTGATTGATGTTGCTCAGTAAGGCTAATAATGCACCCAGTGAAATTCAGATCCAGAACATGCTGCTTTTTCTCATATCATGTGTGACAAACCCTGTCGTCTCTTTCTGCTCTCAAACTTTTACTTTTTGATAGACTCTGTGCAAGGCATGGAGTCCTGCAATCAATGATAATTGTTTGACCAACACATTGCCTGATACAGTTCATCCTGTTTCTCGTTTTGTGAACTCAGATTTTAATTCATTTGTGGCCACGTAGACTTCACCCTATCAACCTACAAGCCCCAAATGATGACTAACTGATTATGAATGTTTTGGGGGTGGTAAAGTTGGTATCTCTTTGAATATTGTGGTTTTTAGTGGTAACACCCAACTCTTGACAGTTCTCTCCAAATAAGAAAAGCCTTACTGATGGAGATTTGAAGGAAAGATGTGTCAGAGGAATTTTTTTTCTTACGACATTTATGTGTCTTCAGTGATTTGGTGAAGGACAGGGGAAGCGGGACCCTCGGGGATTTTTTTTTTCATAGCCTTAGTTTACTCGTTCTGCAGTACCTGCTATGAAAGCTATTACTTCCCAAGGATGCTGACGACTCATTGCACTTGAGTATGATGTGTATAGGTAAAAATGGCAGCCCACTTTTTCAGGGATTACATCTTAGGCATGATTTTTGTTTGATTTTATTGAGATATTTGTGGAACAAACCTATCTTCATACATCTTTATGCATTGGTGTAGTTCTGCCTATCCAATCACTTCTTTGTGTGTTTGAGAATGCGATCATTGTGATTTATAGTAAGAAATATATCTTTGGTTTTCTTCCCAGTTTCTAGCATAGAACTCCTACCACCCTTGGAATTGCCTGTGATGAGAGCCAGAAAGGTGTCTTTGTTATGTTAATGAGGTGGCTTTTGGCCCTGCCTGAGGGTGAGGGCTGGTTGCCAGGGGAACCAACCCTGTGATTAAAGGGTTGGAATTTCAACCCCACCCCTGACCTCTGGGAGGGAAGAGGGGATGGAGATTGAGTTCAGTTGTCAATGGCCAGTGATTTCATCAGTCCTGCCTTATGTCACGAAGCCTCCATAAAAGCCTGATAGGATGGAGTCCAGACAGTTTCTGGGTTGGTGAACATGTGGAGATTTGGGGAGAGTGATGCCTGGAGACGGCGTGGAAGCTCTATGGCTTTTCCCCATATCTTGCCCTCTGTATCTCTTTGATCTGGCTGTTCCTGACTTATATCCTTTCATAATAAGCCAGTGATCTCTTAAGGAAAGGGTTTCTCTGAGTTCTGTGAGCTGCTCTAGCAAATTAAGGGATCCCAAAGACAGTGTCCTGGAAACGTCTGATTTATAGCTGGTTAGTCAGAAGCACAGGTGACAACCTGGTCTTGCGATGGGCGCCTGAAATGGGGGCAGTCTTGTGGGACTGAGCCCTTCACCTGTGGGGATCTGATGTGATCTCTAGGTAGATAGTGTCAGAATTGAATTGACTCATAGGACACCCAGCTGGTGTCCCAGAACTGTTTGGTTGTGAGGGGAGAAAACCCACACGTTGGAGTTGGGAGCAAAATAATAGACGCTGAGAGACACTGAGCCCTAACTCTTTTCCTCTATTGATCAATATGGATGATGGATCAATATGGATGGATGTTGGTCAATATGGATGCATGAAAGTACAACTCAGCTGGAACCTGGGTGACGGAATCTAAGATCTTTGACCCACTGCTCCTGCCAGAATCTCCTGGTCTCTACACTTACGGTTGTTCGGGACTGACATACTCACTTGGTTGCTTAATCCTGAAGGTTCTTTTCTTAACTGCCAACCCTTTGTGACTCTGTTCTCATCTCCCTCCATTGTTAATTATCTCTGATGCCCCTGAATGGTGAAATTGGGTTACATCCAAACATTGTGGTGCATTGTTTTCAAGAGCTGAGAAAGGATCTGGGCAGATTATTATCCAGGTGATGGATCAGTAGGAATGGCTATAGGATATATCCAAGAATGCGTGCATCCTCATTGGTGAGGAGAGTGTGTGTGCACACGTGTGCATACGTATTTGAGTGTGGGAAGAAGGGGTTGTATTCATTCTCCCACCATTTCAACCAAATCCACAGTTGTAGAAAATGGTAGTACTGATTGGATAGCTTTGACCGTTTAAGTCTTTTCAAGGGCTCAAGTCGCAGAACTCCATGTCTTTCCTGGTGAGTGCTAGCTCAATTTGCATCTACCCTGCCCCAGGGAAATCCAGAAAGTCACCAGCTTACCTAGAGGTTTGTTGTACACACTCACCAGTTGGATACCATTTGGACCCTAGACCGTGTTTCCCAGCAGAACAGTGAAATCATCGTTGGCTTCTCAGCTCACCCACAAAAGCCCTGTGCGGCTGTCATGCGTTTGAAATACTGTGTGCTCATATTGAAGCATCGCAGGAAGGAATGGCCTCGCCTTGTCCAGCAGAAAATAGGGCATTTGGCCAAAGGAAAATGACTTATAATGACTTGAAATGACAGAAGGAAAGCCAGTGTCTCATCCGTCTTTCTAACTGTAGGTTTCTCCCAAAAGTAACAACAGCAGTGAAAACCCCTAAAACACTCTTCCTGCTTCCTGCGTCCCTTCATGCCTCCACACCACAAATCTTGAACCTCTGAGCTGCAAGAAGTGAGAAGGGGAAACAGGAGACAGATGCACAGCTCTCACTAACCCAAGAAAGGAAATGCGTGCAAGTCACCAAGGCTGTGCTTCCTGCAGACGGTATCCTTGGGCGGTCCTGCTGCCACGGGGCAGACATCTGGTAGCAACATAGAGAAAGGACGGCATTTATGCACCCCCTCTTTATGCATAGGTGTCATCCCCCAGCCACATCCTTATTGCAAACGGTCTGCATGTCTAAATGCATTTAGTGAAAGCCTTTTGTACATACGACGTTATTTCAGTAGTACGTACAAACATTGTGATTAGCAAAATAGACACTCATTTGAAAGTCAGAGCAGTGTGTTTTTTTGTTTCTCTTATTAAAGTGCTCTCCTATGGCGTAGAAAAGTTGATCACGTCTGTGAGGGGGCATCTTTCCTCTCTACAGCCACATCTTTTTATTTATTTGCATTGTCATGCTCTCCTGACCACTGCCCATGCGTGTTCCTCTGTGATTTTCCTTTGACTTAATTGTTAGGTCTTTGCAAGCTATCTCCCCAAATGCTTTGTCTTCATTTGACTTTCTTTTATTGGAATGGCCCATCCCAGCAGGCAAGACCCTGTGGTAGACTGTGTCCTGAGCATCCTCCTCTGGTTTCCAGGGCGTTGTTTTGTTTTCGGTGATGCCCAGATGGATGCCTCTCATTGGGATCATCTTTGGAGGGAATCACCAGTCCTACTGTGTGATGCAAGAAGATGCAACAGGGACAACTGCAGTGTTGACAACCACAGCCTGATCTTGCTTAACGTCATGCGCTGCGTCCCCGATTCTGCAGAGTGGCTTTTAATGAGTGACCCCACAAACGCTTACTGTGTCATAGGCATCCTCATACTTCCTAAATCCCCTCAAAAACCTACTGCTTAGTTCCGCAGCTCATTTCTCTTTTCCCCACGTCTCCTTTATGTGAAAACGTTCTTTCTCCATCAATGCTGATCTCCCGAGCACGGATTTGTTTCTTTTCCTTTAGCCAAGACTTCTAAATACGCATGGGACTCAGCGTCTTCTGTCCTCTTTCTGCTTTCTCTCATCCACACTCTCTTTTCCTCCATGCTTCCTTTCTTCCATTCAGAGAGCTCCTCAATGCCTTTGTAAGGAGGCTCCATCTCTTCTGACTCCCTTGGGCAATCCTCTACTCATAATTGCTTAGAAATCTCTCGCTTTGGACTTTTTTAAGGGCCACCTTTCCCCAGCAAGTGTTTGAAAGGCAGTCTGTTACTTTACTCTAAATTTTCGGTCCTGATTACTGCACTGGGTGACCGAACTGGGCGTGATCCCTGAAGATGTGCCCACTGGGTATGAGTTTGCTCGGGCAGCCAAAACAAATACCAGAGACTGTATGTACAGACGGAAACAGAAGCCATTTATGGTCTCACAGTCTGAGACCAAGTCTGAGATGCAGGTGTAGGCAGGGCTGGTTTCTCCTGAGGCTTCTCTCCTTGGCGTGTAGACCACGTCTCCTTGAAGTCCTCACGTGGTCATCCCTCTGTGCATGTCTACGTCCTCATCTCCTCTTCTCATAAGGACTCCAGTCCTGTTGGATCAGGACCCACCCTCATGACCTCCTTTTACCTCCATCACCTCTTTAAAGACCGATCTCCAAATACAGCCCCATCCTGAGGTCCTGGGGGTGACGGCTTCAACATTGGAATTTTGGAGGACGCAATTTAGCCCCAAACAAGCTGTTAGCCAGTTTGTTATCAAAATATGGTGTTTACTCTTGTCCATTCTGAGATCTTTGCCCATTTCACAGGATTCCCGTCTCAACATGTATCTATATCTATATCTTAACATCTCTCTGTACCTGACTCTTAACATCTACCTATATGCATGTGTTAACCTGTGTCCATAAACATACATAACATCTATCTTTGCTATATGTTAACGTGTATCTAGCTATACCCATAATGTATATCTATATTGAACCTTAACATCTGTCCATACTCATATCTTAGCATCTGTCCATCTGTATGAATATCTTAATATCTATGTATACTTGGATATTAATGTCTGTCTATACACACGTGTCAGCACCTGCCTATACCCAGATCTTAATGTCTATCTGTGCCCATTTCTAACATCTACCTGTTCCCGGATCTTAATGTCTATGTATGCCCATAGCTTGACATCTGTCTGTCCCCAGCTCTTACTGTCTGCCTCTGCCCATCTGTGCCCACATCTAACATCTGTCTATACCCATCCCTTAATGTCCATCCACGGTGCAGCCTTCACTCACGCGGTGGTCTCCCACAGGTTCTGGACGTACCATGATGAGCGCTTCCTCTACATGCTGATGGAGTTTGTGCCGGGCGGCGAGCTCTTCAGCTACCTGCGGAACCGGGGGCGCTTTGCCAGCAACACTGGGCTCTTTTACTCCGCGGAGATCGTCTGTGCCATTGAGTACCTGCACTCAAAGGAGATCGTCTACAGGGACTTGAAGCCAGAAAACATACTGCTGGACAGGGATGGTCACATCAAACTCACTGACTTTGGGTTCGCTAAGAAACTGGTAGACAAGTAAGTGACCATTTTCACCCATTTCCCTTGCCCCCGCCGACCCCCCGGCAACCACCATTCTACTCTTTGGTTCTATGAGTTTGGTTTTTTTTTGAAGATTCCACATATAAGTGAGATCATACAGTATGTGTCTTTTCTCTGTCTGACTTCTCTCACTTACCATCATGCCCTCCAGGTCTATCCATATTGTCGCAAATGGCAAGATTTCCTTCTTTTTTATGAGTGAATAGTATTCCCTTGTAGATATACGCCTCATCTTCTTTATCCATTCATTCATTGACGGACACATCGGTTGTTTTCGTATCCTGGTTATTGTGAATAATGCTGCAGTGAACAGGGGGGCACGTTATCTCTTTGAGATGCTAATTTCATTTCATTTGGCCGTATGCCCAGAAGTGGGATTGCTGGATCATAACGGTAGTTCTACTTTAAATTTTTTGAGAAACCTAAATACTGTTTTCCGTAGTGGCTTTACCAATTTACATTCCCCCCACCAGTGCATAAGGGTTCCCTTTTCTACACATCCTCACCAACACTTATCTCTTGTCTTTTTGATGACAGCCACCCTGGCAGAGTCAGCTGATGTAAGTTAGCTTTTCTTTTTATCAGAATTATACATCTGCATCCTCTGAGTCAAGGACTCTCAACAGACAGCCACTTTCAACTCTGAGGGCTGCTCAGCCAGTTTTCTTGGTCCGTCTCCTGGGCGGCTTCCAAAATTGTCCTGTTGTTGTCTCCTTGTTCCTTCTTAAGTGGCTTATGCTTTTTATCATTCTTCACTGTCTTTTGGGAGGGAGCAGAGCTGAATTTGTTTAATTCACCATCTTTGACAAGAAGGATTATGCATTTAAACATAGTGAGGTCACCTTTACCTTGTTCAAAAAAAAAATGTATCTTACTTTTTATTTCTGATGATGACAAAACACCAAAAAAGTCCTTGCTGAACAAATAAATTATTAGTTTCAGTGTTTTCCTATGTAAATAAAGGTACAGCACATACACTAGGCATGAATATTTATTTGTGTTTCAGGTTAATTCTATAATTTAAGTTCTCCTAAGTGGAATTAACTAGGCGAACATTCTGAACATTGTTAGCACCAGAGAGTTGATATCATTAAGAAGAATTCTATAAGATAACATCTTAGATAGTTCCGTATTATAAAATACCTTTTGGCTTAATTCACTCCAATAATCCAGAACGCTCTATTTAACTGGGAAAAACCATTTATACTTAATGTGCATAAGTCATGCATCGCTTAACGATGGGAATACATACTGAGAAATGCATCATTAGGTGATGTCATTGTCCTGCAAACATCACAGAGTGTGCTTACACAAGTTTAGTTGGTACACCCTGCTACACACCTACACTCTGTGGTATGAATCTTATGGGACCACCATCGTATATGTGGTTTGCCATTGACCAAAATGTCATGGAGTGACGCATGACTGTGATTATGTAATATATAGTGTATAAAAGTATAATATTCAGCATATGTGAGGCTGACGTATTTGCAAAACTGTCTGTGTTGCAACATCATGAGCCTGCAAGCGTCTTTTAGTGCCATGATCTGTAGAGACTGCATTCTCTCCTTTAGGAACAATGCAGCCTTTAGCATGTAGAATCTAAGAAAAACTCTCAAAATTTAATTCCCAGCCAGGAGCACCCCTTATAAGAAGCACTGGGGGCCTCTCTTGGGGTCTAAAGGGTTGGGTTTGAATGCAATTGTACATTTTTACTCCAAAGAAGCGAGTAAGAGGGACGTGGCTAAAGGTGAGGGATGGAGCTGTCTCATTTTCTGTGTTGGCTCTTTCTCTCTGTCACGTCACACATTAGTTTTCTAGGTTGTTTTGTTTTGGGGTTATTTTGCTGTGGTTTTTGTTGTTGTTATGTTATGCCCTAATAAAACATAAGCTTTTTTCCCCCATACATGCAGTTGCCCACCACACGCCTGGGCAACTTAGGCATTAAAGAGAGAGACACCTGACAGAGCCGGAGAAAGACTGGGCTGTATTATTTCTAATGCCATCACAGCTCCTGCTGATAACCTGCAGTCATAAAATATTCCACTTAGAAGGACAAGGGTGTGTGTCTTGTTCCTCTGGACAATTTTAGTAATTTATGTTCCTAAAATTTCTCTTTCTCTAGAGCAGCGCCGTCTGATAGAAATACAACACAAACCTCGTGTGTTCAAGTTTTCCAGGAGCCATAGTTTAGAAAAGAAAACAGGTGTAGATAATTTTAATAATGAAGTCTCTGTTACTCGATATCTCCCAAATATGATCATTTTAACATATCATTAGTATAAAAGTTGAGAGAATTTTTACTGTTTTCGAAATCCCACGTGCATTTATTTCTTACAGGACATCTCAATGAGGGTGCTAAATTTTCATCAGAAATGCGTACTTGATCTTTATTTAAAGTCCGTAACATTTAAATCTGGAGAAGCAGATTCACATGGCCAGGCGCTTCAAAAATACTTTAAAAGTTTTGCAGTAACTGTCTTGAGTATCAGTTTTTAAATTTAAATTAATTACAATCAGATCAAAATTTCAGATGCTCAGTACATTTCAAGTGTTCAGTAGCTACAAGTGGCTAGTGGCTCCATATTGGCCAGACAGACCCAGAAAATGCACCTTACTGTCCCATTCCTTGACGAGATGGGGTTAGATAAGGTGATATCTATGTTCCTCACATTGGAGAAACATCTGCACTGAGGGGAAACTTGATTTGGGGGCAATTTTACACGAAATGACTCATCTCTGATGGTTTTTCGAAAGGAGCCTCTTGTGAACACTTTATAATGCAGTAAAATTCAGTCTCATTTTCCCCTATAGAATTTCATCTATTCCATTTCTAAGAATAAAGCACATAAAAGTGAGGAGCTTTTACATAGAAGAGTGGAGACCTTACTTTTAAAAAAAAGTTGGTGTATCACATTGGCGCTGCCCCCTATTGGCAGCACGTGTATACAGTGTACCCCGTATTTATTTTTCTTAAGTCATTTTATTTGGAAGTCTGTTTCCAGAAATAAAATGTTTCACATATTCACTTGATTGTAAATTTGCCAAACCACGTTCCTATCCAGGTAATCCATTATGTCCGTTTAAGACTAAATGGCTGAAGACGGTTTAGCACATAACATCAAGCAATTCATTTACTTAATATGTTGAATCTTGGAAAAGAAGGGCTCATTGCCGTCTTGATAGATCGCGTTTAAAGAACTTCATCTTTCTAGTCATGGGTAGTGTAGCTTGCAAAAATACATGTTTTTTGGTGATTTTTCTCCTTTTTATTCGGCGTTCTGGGTTTGTTAAATGAAGTCCCTGTCTTCTGGGCCAGCTCTGGGGACACGTGCTCATGAGCACATGGATGCAGCCCTTCCTCTGGTTTGGGATTCACATACTAACCATGACTTTTGAATAAAAATGGAAAGAAATTCACCGAAGTTTCCGGGGATCGCTACAAAATAGATGGAACAAAACAGAGTTCATCTCGAATGATATTTTTGAACATATGATTTAGAGAAGTGTGTTTCTCATATTTTTTATAGCGTACGATACAACATATTTAAGCTTGTAATTAAGTACTTTGCTCACGTATATGAATCTTATGCCCCTTTGTTCATGGCGACTCGATTTATCCTGTTTTTCCTAGGTTGTCAATAATGGAGGGATGTTTTTCTCTTCTAAGTTGATCTTACACAACTCATCTTTTCTCACTATGATTTTTCTTATTGCTGTATGAAACTATTTTGCATATACATTTTACATTATGCACATAGCCTGCCTAAAAGATGTAGGGACGAACTAGAATTGTTCTTGATTTTTTGCAGTGATTAAAAGAAGCTACTGATAGATTTAATTTGGTTTTATAAGTAAAATACAGAGGATACCTTCTGAGATGTGGTTTTCTCTCTCTGCAACAGCTCTTTCATTATGATTCTATTGTATTATTATTGTTATCTATTGTTATTATTCTATGTTGTTCTATTGTGGGTTTATAAATTCAGTACTATCCTTTGGATTTTTATTTCTGGCATCTTGCTAAGGGTGACATGGAACCTAGTCTTTTACAATTGTTACTTAACATTTCCAAGCAGACAGAAAGGTAGAGAGAATAGTTTCTATTAATACCTTTTGTCCCCATCACCCGCCTTCAGTAGGCATCAAAGCTTTGCCACCTGATTGGAAGTTTTTGCCTTTCTCCCATTTTTGTTTCTTGAATTATTATAAAGCAAATACCCGCCATCCTATCTCTAACAGATCCTGAACTTTAAAACAATAACTACAATGCCATTATCACATCTGAGAAAATTCTATAAGAAAATTCTTACTATCATCTAACACCCGGTCAATATTCAAATTTCCCCCAAATGTCTCAAAAATGAGGATCTAACCAAGGTTTCCACACTGCTTTTGGCTGATTTGTCTTTTAGCTCCATTTGATCCATAAAGTTCACCTTCCAACTTTTTTTCCCTTTCTGCCATATATTTGTCAAATAAACTGGGCCATTTGCCCTGTAGGAAGCCCCACAATCTAGACTCTGTGGATTGCTTCCTCACGGTGTCACTTTCCTTGTTCTTCTGTCCCCTGGATGTCTTGTAGACCAGTGGTTAGCTCTCTGGACTGGATTAGAGGCAGGGCCATTGGACCCTCCTTTTCGCCCTTCCTCCGTCCGTCCTTTTCTTCCTTTCTTTCTTTTTTGTCTTTGAGAAATAGCTGGTGCTGAGTTTCTGTTGTGGCTTTTGTGTCCAGCAAGAAGCGCGGACCACGTCCTTGTCTTGCTGTAAGTGGAGTGAAGATGGCTGCTCTGTGGGTCTGAGTGTTACCGGCCCAGCCTCCCTCCCCACTGTCCACTCTTGCTCCCATCTACACCGAACTGTGGGTTTTGGCTCCTCCGATGGTGGCTGCCTTGCTCCAGCCTTCCAAGAGAGATGGCACAATGGTGACATTCTTGCTCTGACATCCCTTCTGCATTTCGTAGCTGGAATTTTTC